TTTTCACAATAAAAGAAAATTTTGAGGATTTTATAATAAATGATATTCCAAATTATATATAAAAATGTTATTGATTCGTTTGTTTCGGATGAATAGAGTCCTTCAACTGGTAGTTACAATTATTTTAAAACAAAATGAGCATAGCGATTTATAACTTTGAGAATACGTTCTAAAAACTCATATATATATATATATATATAATTTAACACAAAAAATGAAAAAAATATGTACTTAAAATCTCAAGTCTAAATTCAATAGCTTTCCTTTAACAAAAATCATAAAATTTAATCTTGAAAATCGTTTTTAGAATCTCCCTTATAAAATCTGGTACAATAAAATCAAATAACTGTAAATAATAGAATCAATTGTCTAAAAAATAAGAGTAGCTTCCAAATTCTTCCTGATACTTGATAAAACACTTGGATTAAAGTTTCGACCATCGCAGTAATGCAAAGTTAATAATTACTTTCTAATAATCGGGAAATTAGACGAAAGTACGTTGTTCAATAGCTAAGATGATCGAGTACTTGAAAAAAGTACATTCAAACATCACTCACTCTGAAGATTGATAGCCGACGGGAAGATGGAGGCGGCGTGCCGATGGACTTCCTGGGACCTGGCGGCCATTACGGAGCAGGGGGTCGAGTGGGCCCCATGGTGCGCGTGGGCATGGGGGTGCGCAGTGTGATGGGCCGTGAGCGGCGTGCCGCCGGCCGCAGCACCGGCAGCAGCGGCAGCATTACCGGGATATCCGGCGGCTCGTGCCGCGGTGTAACGATAGGCCGCTTGGCTCATCTGCGAGCACGAGCTCAGGTCTCCGTAACTGCACTGCATCTCGCCGGCGGCCAGAGCACAGCTGGAGGCCTCGAAGCCGGCCGCTGCTGCGGCCGCAGCCTGATTCAGATACGAGTAGTCCATAATGCCGTGGCCTGGCTGCAAGTAAATCCACTTTGCGTTACTCCGATGGCACTTAGTACTTTGACAGTCGTTTCTTTACACTTCGGTGACAATAAGGGACACGCGTGACAGTCTCGAACGAATGCACTCGAAAAAATCAATGGTGGGCCGTTATAAGTCACGATATCTAACACATTGATAGTTTCTGAGATAAGTACAATGCGTCTCTTGTAAACTTTATGAAAAAAAAAAGACACTGGTTGCGCGCGAAAACGTATGGTTGTGATGACGAATGCGATGTGAAATTGAGAAGGTGACGTAAGCAGCGCGATTTATCCGGGCCCGTTAGTACTCGAACTCTTGGGCCCGTTCGTTCGTTTTACCGCGGGTAAGACCCGGGTAGACGCGAGCGGTAGGAGCGGCACGCCGCTCTCTCGTCGGCGACGCTTCAGAGAGCGAGACCGGGAACCGTGCCGGGCCGCCGGTTGGGTTCCTCGATAGCGGCTTATGATGCGTAATCGGATCAGCGATATCAAATTATTGCGATTACACCGCGGATAGGAAGAAGTTTTCCGGCCCGCTTAAGAGCGCCCCGTACGACCGACTGGTGGGTCTCCTCAAAATCAAATGATAAGCTTAATTCAATAACCGCCGGTGCCGCGGGTAGGAGCGTGGGTGTGGCCGTGGTTGATTCGCAGGGGTTGCGTTTCGTAGAGGGTTCTCCATGTGGAAGCTGATTCGCCAGCAGCCGAACCATCCCTGTGACGAGAACGGGGGTTGAAACACCGCCCCGTGTCGGCAATACCGATTTCCACCCCTCTCGAGGTTTACGCGGGGCCACCCCCAGGTTACAGACCAGACAACCCTCTTCCCCAAACGGCCATCAGCCCGAATGAGTGCTATCATTCGATGACGCGCCCCTCCAGCCGCCCCACCTTCAGCTTTACGATCGATTCCGCGCAGAGACGCCGGCGACGAAGGACGCCGTTGTGTTCTGGCTGCTCCAGTGGACGCGAGGAGTCTGCAAGAGGCTGCGTCGCGTCCCGTACCGCGGCCAAGATCCTCGGAGCTGTTTACACCTGCGTGCCGTGCCGTGCCGTGCGAAGGATATCACACGGGCCGGATTATTCGCGTCGCGCGTCGATGCTAAAACATCTCAACTCCTCATATTCTGACTGCTAAATATTAAATCAAAGAGCGAAAGAGAAAAGAAGCAAGGGATAAAGAAAAAAAGAAAATATTATATCGTTTCTTAACAGATTTATTAAATGTGTATCAGAATTCATCTTTTTATTTTATACATATCGCTGTCTTTTACGTCAAAAGTGACACAACTACAAAAATTAATTTTCTCAGAAAAGAAATAAAACTATTTAACTTGATAGAAAATTATTGACTAATCAAATAATATCGACAAAAAGAATATATTCTTAACATAATCAAATGTCATTTTTATATATTTTCGTTCGCAACTCTTAAAAATCACTCTTTTTAAGTTTTAACACGATTTTAATGATTTCTTATTTGATGGCTGATTTTTTATGATTGATAGAATAATGTTTATTTAACTCATTCATAGCAATAACTCGAAAATTACGTTTTTTAAAATTGTGTCTTTTGAAATAAGGAAGCGATATATACTATCTACTATAAAGCATCACCATAAAGTAATATTTTTTTCTCATTTATTTCAAACAGTAATATTACATCAAATAGGCTTTGTTATTCTGTACATCTTATTTTTATCAATTGATTATATGACTCGTTTTCTAAGATAAATATTAATAATAAAAATAAATAAAGATTAATATTATTATTCAGATAGAGAAAAATACAGAATACAGCAACAATGAAAATTTTAAAAGCAACATAAAAATATTTTTTAAATAAAAATGTAAATAATATTATTCACGGAGCATAAAAAGAATGCTTAAGAACCGATGTAATTGAAAAAGATCTGCTAATTACTATTTATTAATTACTATTATAAATTTGTATTTAAAAAGTGACTTTTAAACACATTTAATAAAATTGTTAAAAAAATAATGTTATTTTCTACAAACTTAATATTTTTCATTACAAATTAGAGCCGGTATTATTTTGGTGAAAGCTAAATAATCTCTGCATTTTAAATCAACTTAATTTTATAAACCAAATGTATAATGATTGACGCATATTTTTTTATCATTTCCGTCGCATGATGGAAAACTAAGTTTATTAAAATTATAAATTCATTATTAGTGAAACTGTGAAAAAGAAAAACCTAATTTTTTTATGTATAACGTATAAAACTATTTTTGTAAATCGGCTGTTTTAATGTTCAAACAGTATCTCTGAGTATTTCTGATTTGTTACTGTAAATTTTTTCATTAATTCATTATTACATTATATTGATTTACATATATAATAAATTGATTTATTAATATAAATTAAGAATTGAAAGAATCTTCAAAAATATCTGTAAACGTTAATAAATAACAGGTATCTATTATAAGAAAATAGATCGCTTACTTTACTATTTTACATTACAAATTTATTTCGCAAAAGTAAATTTTTCTACCTTTCTTATTGAAAATGTTTCATTATTATTTATTAAACAGTCTTCGATTCCGAAGGTTTGTCAACTGTTGTGAATTTCTGAGAAAGAAATAAATAAAAAAATATGTAGGCTGTAATATTAAAAAATAAATTAAAATTATTTGACCATAGAAGATAGATAATACTTTTTTAATTCAAATTAATTAGAGAAACAAGTCGTATGTTGCATACAAAATCTTTGTTGTATTCTTTCGATTAACAATTGTCATTTGACTCCATACTTTTATGATGAAATTATTCACATCGTAACATTACAATTAATGTCGTGTAATCTTTTTATAAATCAAACAATAATTCAATGTTTTTGACCGATTTCAAAAATATTCTACGGTATTTTTAGTAATCTCAAATTTATTAGTTTAACATAAATTTTATGCGAGTTTTGATAATTGAACTATAGAGTCTAAATTAAATATTAAAAAGTTTACGGCGTAGAATACTATTATTTCCATCTGATTCGCGAAGAAAAGATTTAAATTAATTAAAAATAATCTTATCAATCTTAAACTCGTTAAGTGTAAATTCATCAAATAATGAAATTATTACAAAGTAATGCAATCATTTTGGTTCTACTGCATATTTTACATTTTTCACGCGAGTTAAGACACCCTAACATCTAAACAAATTGAAATTTCTCACATTTCTTCTCTTTCGCGAGTATAATCATATAGAAGGGCAAGGGAAAATATGATTTATTTCGACCTAGAGAAACAATTTTCACGAACATAGAACGGCAGTGCGCATCCGTCGGCCAGCTCCTATGTGACATTTGTTTTGCACTTGTTCTCACGAGAAAGAGAGAGAGTGTGTGTGTGTGTGTGTGTGTGTGTACCACGATGAGAGCAGTCGCGGTGTTCCACCCTCTTTCCTGAATCTTATCCCAAGGGAATCCCGTTCCCGGCACGCGGAACGTGTGTCGCACGCTGCCACCGTGCACATCTCCGGGAAACATACACAACGAAACGCTACATAGGCGTACCCTTTTGAATAAATTCTGTGTATAATGAACGAGACATTGCGCGTCGTGTCGATGCCGGAAGCACTGCAACTTTTCCTTTGGTAAATAAATGAACCAACGTAGAAGAGCATAACTTCGAAAAATATTTGAAATAAAATCCAAAGAAAAGTTCGGTAAAGCAAATAACATAAATTATAAAATAAAACAATTTTTTATTCTTCTAATTAATAATAAATGAATAATACTCAAACAAGAATGATCAATATTTCGCACATGCGTAGATCATATAATTATAAAAAGATGATACTCACGCCATTTTTTCCGAGTTCGAAGATTATTGATTTGACAAATTCATGATTTTTAATTAAAGGTGATAAAATTTTAAAATTTTTAAAAGAAGAGTTTTTGAAGAGAAAACTTCCGCTCTCTCAAAATTACGCCATTGTTTGCTGAAGCGGCAACACGTACATGAGATCGTGTGTGTCTTTGATATCAATATACGTATGAATGTGTCGGTCTCTCCCCTTGGTGGTCTGATACATATGTCCTTGATTTGTCCGGAGAATAATATTCTCTCCTGCAAAGTTGATTAAATATTGGTTAGTGATCTCGGACACCCTTCGCGGCCCAGCATCGCCTTTCGGCTCCGCGAAGACCCGAAGGAATACAATTTAATATTTTCACGCCTGAAAACACAGCGGGCGATCATTTTTCTTTCATGCGAGGTTGGTACATCGGGAATTAACGATTTTTCTACGGTCTCCAAGGGAAATCTATAAACGGTGCTTTACAGTTCAAGTGATATAAGTCGAGCTTAAGACGCTTTCAGTTTGCCAATAAAACGAATGATAATGTTCCGCAATCATTTTGGTTTAATTTTTATGAACTGAGAAGATTCAAAAGATTTTGAAAACTTTTTATACATTATATCGTATGGACGCTTTTAAATTTTTTAGACAAGTTCCATTATTCTATAAACCAAGAAATTTTATTTAAAAAACGGATTTAAATAAAAGCTGAATAAGTTAAAGAGATAAAACGCTTTGTTATATCTTGTTAATAAATTCAAAATAAAATAGCGTTACGATCAAAAAATAAAAATTGAAAAACGTTGACAAAAATTTATATTTTTAAATCACCAATCTCTATACTTATGTTAACAATTTCAAATTTTCTTGTCTATTATTATTAATTGACGATTATGACATAAGCGAAAATTCGTCGAGAAAAAAATATGCAACAACATAACACGATTATTTTTGTATAAATTTTATTATAAAATATTGCATTGTGTTAGAGAGAATTTTTTCGATATTCGTCATATTCATGTAAAAGTAGCCTAGTAGCACAATATTGACCCAGTATTGGCCCAATATATCTCCAATGTTTAATTAATGTAATTACTACTATAAGCAAGTCACTTTTGGGACATTGCTACTTTTACATAAAGGCGCAATCTATATATTTTAAATTATATTTACAAATATATATATATATATTTATATTTAATCTTTTCTTAAAATACGCTGTACATTATATTTTTGTAAACATTATACGAAAATCGATCACTGTTTTACATAAATACAATAAAAGTATATAATGAAAAATTAATTTTTCATCGGGCATATTTAATATTAATAGTAAATTTTAGTGAAAATATTTTTACCAATAGACAATTTTATCATGTGTTTTTAATTTAATAATATAATGATCTATATTCTATAGTATTCCAGTCTTCACGCTAAAAAGATTTATCTCTATTATACTACAATTATCGACTATCTTAACACTATCAGTTAAAAGTTAAACAACTGATCTTCTAACAAATTTGATATCCCTTTTCTCTCAAAATTTCATTCTTTAATATATATAAACGTTGAAAGTTATTTTATATATAAACTTTGAAAGTTATTTTATATTTTTAATGTTTAATCAATAAATTACTTATTATTAAATATTTAAAAAATTAAAATTAATTTCTCTTTCTCTCTCTAATTTTCTATAAAATTATCGCTAAGAAAAAACAAACCTTAAATAAAATAATATATCATTATCATTTCTGAACAATAGCGAAATATAAATGTTTAAGACAATACATATTATATATCTGTAATAAAAAGAATTATTTAAGTGTAATTATTTATTTAATGTTGCTATCTATTCATGGACATAAGAAACAACTGGACAGATTGAAATCTATTGTAATATTACAATAAATTATAAGAATTTGAAACTATCGAAAATAGTAGATTATCAAAGAATCTATAAAATAAAATATATATTATCGATATTATTTGTTATAAAACCTAAATAAAAAAAAAATTAAAAGTAAGTTTTTTTATTTACTTTGATTCATTTAATTATTTAATTAACATCTCATAATCTAATATTTTAAACTGTTCCAATGTAATTCTTACCCATTAAAATGTTATTTCCTTCAATTTTATGTATATGCGGTTTTAACACTTTCTACAGATTTTAATACTTTTAATATTGGTAATATTTTCTTATTTATTAATAACGTAACGTGTAGATATTACAAAAATATATTTAAATTTTATTTACATTACTTCGAAATATTTTGAAATATCGCGCTTTGTTTAACACATTCGAAGCTATGTTAGTAACACAGCGCAATCAAGTTTATATTTACTATGGGTGCCTTCCAACAAGAGATCCACATGACACGATGTAATACAGTGCATCATCCTTATAATACAGTGTTACATCCTTGTTGTTCGCTAATGTTAAACAAGGATAAGATGATTACTGTGTTGTACTGAGTCGCTTGTTCAAAGGCACCCTATGTCTCTTACTCTCTTTCTATTTAATTATTCTTTCTCTTCTGCTTTCTTTTTTGAATAGATAAATCGGTCCAGTCATTCTATCTTCATGTCCATGAATTCACTTACATAAATTTTATATATAGATATCTATTAATATTTCTAACATCTTTTAATTTTAACGTTATTCTTTTTTCGTTATATTTTGTACATTAATTATATCGAGACCTTCTAACTTCTATAACCTGAGTTATTCGTGAAATACTACTGCATTTGTATAATGTTCAAGGATACGAATTTTTTAGCTAAATTTTTTCGCAGTAATAAGTGTACTATATTCGTTAATCAATGTCCAATGTATTGAAATCTTTTATGCAAATGTAAAATAGATTTTTGATTGTTAATCTCCAATGATGAGGTAGGAGTTAAACGTGATCCATACCTTCGTTAATCGAAGTGTTTCTAGTTTTATTGCAATTATTTAAAATCAATTAATAAACTTTTGTATTTTTTTGTTTTAACTGAAAATTAAAAAGATTCATTCACAAATATTATTAGACACCCCAACATGTACTTTAATCAAATATGGTTTCTCTTTTTTTTTTCAAGTATTTTTTCTTCCATATAAATAGAGAGAGAAGTCATTATTTACTTTTTCATTATCTACTTTTTCGATTTTATACATTGATTAGATAAAAAATAAATAAAATAAAAAGTCGAATCCTACCTTTGTGAATAGGTCCTGAAAATTCATCGTAAAGGATTAATAAATTTAATCTTCGATTTTCAAATTATTCACGAAATCTCTTCATGTATACTATCACGATTTTAAACATATGTAACTAGACATTATTTAACATATTTCTTGAGCTTCCTAGGTCCACTGACACGACCCAACCTATACCGTGACCCAAAGTAGGTCTAATTACCAACCGAAACAGACTTAAAAATTGATGGGGTCGTATTTCCACGCTGATCCAAATTACCTAGAGCCGTGTACACATCTCGCACGTTTACACCAAAAAGTAGATGATCTATTTTAGGTCAGGCCGCTAAAAAACCGAGGTCTGACCTAAAGCTAAGTTGGGTAAGCTTATCTACCAAGTGTTTATGATATGGGGTCTAAATAATTTAGATCGAATTTGGAATATAGGCTGCGGACTAAGCGCATGGTGTAAACGTAGCCACTCTGTGTACTAAAAATGTAGTTTACGTAAACTTTAGATTTTTAGTACTCGCAATAACGGAACATAACCTTCGATTGTTAGTTTAACCGATTTTTAATATAAACCAAAATCACTAGGCGATGACAATTAGCAATCAAACGTGATCGACGATTGACATTATTGCATATTTGGATAAATAGCATAATACGAGTTCTTAAATTGTTTTGAATTGTACACATTCGGATCCTCTACGGCGTACGGTTGGATCACGTTGGGCGGCACTGTTTTTTGATTGTGCACATTTGTTACCATATATTGCGGCGTGGATACAATTTGACCAACAGCCGCTTCTTCTATCAGTTTCCTCGGGGAATATATTAGTAGGGGCATAGACGTGTCGTTCTGCTGCGGCGCATTATCTGCCGTAGACACCGCATATGCAGACGATGTCGAATTGGACAATTGCTGCGCCTTGCATTTCTTCGTATGAGCATATAATGAGCCGGCATTGTTGTATCTTTTAGTACAGAGCTTGCACGCGTATGGTCGTTGACCAGTATGTGTATACGTATGTTCATTCAACGAGGTCAATCGTCGGAAGGACTTGGTGCAGATGTTGCAATGATATTTGGCCTCACCAGTATGCATGGTGATGTGCCGTGCCAGAGTATTGGCCCGGGCAAACGCTCTACTACAATACTGGCAGATATACGGTTTCTCACCGCTATGAGTTCTCAGATGCAACTGTAAATATGTGCTCTTGGTGAAGGCACGACTGCATACGTTGCATACATATGGCTTGATGCCGGTATGTGTACGCATATGCGCCACCAGCGACCCACTCTGAGCAAAGCACTTGCTACATTTCTCACAGAGAAATCGTTTCTGCGTATCCTTCACCCGTTTATGCCTCTCTATGTGGTTTGCCAGAGATTGAGCCTGTGCGAAGGCCTTTGGACAAAGCATGCACTTATGTGGCCTGTTGTGTCGGTCCTACAAGAAAATAAATCTATTAGAGCTGTGTCGTTAGAGCATATTTTTGTAGAAACAAATAGAGATATAAACTAATTTAATTTTTATTGTATATTACATACACAAGAATTATAATAAATATGGTTATTTCGTAAATATTTTTACACAAATACAAAGTATTCCGTAAATCGTGATACAATCGGGAAGGAGTTTAAAATTTTATTCTACGTTTTCGATTTATTTTTTCATGTAGAATCATTCTATTCCTAATTGTAACACGATTTTCAGGATATTCTGTATAATAAATGTACATATAGAATTCAAACAAATACTTGCCTTCTTTCGGTTTTCGGAATTCTCGTTAATTTTGCTTTCGTTATCCTCCTCGTAATCATCTTCGTCGTCAGTGTTGCCGAATATTTCCTCTTTGTGTTTCGATTGTTCGTGATCCTTCAGTTTGTCGATTCTTGAAAATCCTTTACCGCATGTCGAACAATTAAACTTCAAACCACTGTGCGTCGAGATATGCCTTTTCAGGTTTCTCTTTGTAGCAAAAAGTTTGCCGCACTGAGTACACTGTAGACTTTTGATCGGTAAATTACTATCATCGTCATCCTCTTCTTCTTCCTCCTCTTCGGATTCATTTTCTCTGAATATTGACATTCTATCTTTTTGTTCATTCGTTGTATCATTCGCAGATTGCTCAAATACGTCGTCCGATGTATCCACGTTGTATTCAACATGACTTTTGGCATGAGATAAAAAGGATTTCTGATATATAAATTGTTTCGAGCAAACTTTGCATGTAAATTTGAAATTTTTCTTTTCTTCCCTTGTGCTGTCCGCCACAGTGCCACTTCTAGTAACTTTCGCCGACACTTTATTTGCCTTTCTGTCATCTTGTGACGCTTTACTATCTGCCGCCTGAGTCTCGTGACACGTGAGCATATGACTCTTCAATTTGTCGATATTCGAAAACTGCTTGTCACACACAACGCACACGTAACGTAGCTTTGTCTTGTGTTTGTGTACGTTCATGTGTCGCTGCAACGCAACTTTTGTCGCAAACGATTTGATGCAATGCAAGCACTTCTGTCTCGTTGTCCTGCTTATAAGCGGTTTCTCCTCGTCATCACTACAATTTGTGACGCTTTTCGTATCCATTCCTGACACCATGGTTTCCTTCGAAATATGGTCATTGAAATTCTCCAGCAATGCATCATTCTTAGCTTCAATTTTTAATGTATCTTCCCTATTTTCATCCGTTAAATTTCCCGATGTCTCATTATCTTCAGGTAATATTAAATCTTCTTGTTTGATACATCTGTCTTCCGTTGTTGAACTGGAAAATCGATCTGAATGATCGGCAACTGCATCTTCCATGTGTGTCTCATGACACAAGGCTACTTCCATCATTTCAGCATTATGTACATTATCTTTAACTGTACCATACAGTGCATCTTTTTCACTTGGCTCTATTTCTGTCGTCTTTTGTATCTTGTGACTTATGTGAGATTCATCAATTACCATATCAGACTGAACGGCAGTATTATTAAATGCAATGATATCGTGAGACGAGGAAATACCTTGTTGTATGTGATTACCTTTTTTACAAGATACTACATCAGATATAACATCTGCGATATCTTTGATTATCATGTTATCTTTCGTATGTTTGTCGTGCAGCATAGGTTGAATCTGCAACTTCAGAAACTGCCGTAGCCTCTCGTCGGCGTTCTGAATCTGACATCTGAAGTCATAGGACACATCGAGCAAATCATTGCAAGCTGAACAGATGTAAGCTGGCAAACCATCCCCTACCTCCACCTGCAATTTATGAAAATCAACAATAGTTTCACTTTGTAAAAATATTATTTTAAAAGAAAAAAAATGTATAAAGTTTGACTAAAAAAATGCTTTATTACAAACAAATGTTGAAACAGAACATGAAATATAAAACAAATGGATTTTTCATTGCGCAGAATATAAAAGTGTACATTGCATGTATAGAAAAATTAAATGCTTATCTTGTATGTATATTCACATAATATTTACTATCTTTAAACGAATCAGTATCATTTCAACTTATATGATATTCATTCAGTCCTGAGATAATAACTATGCTCGAAAAGAATAGCTGATAGATTTCCATTGTTGTGAAATAGCCATCAAAATGCCAATGTTCCACCAAAATATTCTGTTCCAATATTTCATGACTTTATAATAAAGTATTTCTAGTATAATAAAGTATTTCTTCAAATTTCATATAACATTTTTTTCTTGTAAGATATGCTCTTGCGTATCCTACAAGTTTGTTCTTAAATCCTAAGACATCCTGTACATATACACATATATAAATATTGCCTGTTTTAATTCAGAGAACTAGAAAAAAATAAAAAATTGAACCGAAATGAAAGTTAATCTACATTGGTAGAATGAGATGTGTATCTCTAACAATCTCTAATCATAAGTGATAATGTAAGTGAGTGTAAGCGGCTTGTATCATTGTTTACATCGTAAGAAAAAGCTAGAACGGCAAAATCATAAAGCAGAATCGCTTTTCTATGATCAATTTTACATTCAAATGAAAGAAAAAAAAAAAGATTGAGAGATATTCTTACGAACAATCTCTGACCTCGAAACTCTTATTAATTCTCCGAGGAAATCGATGTTAACACGGAACAACTCGTCCAGTCAAAACAGCATTGGCATTAAGAAATCAACAACGGACAGAAACCCTCCACAATTCGAACGGATTCAAGAACATCGGAGATGCGACAGAGAAATGTAAACACGGGGGTATTACTCGATGCAGAGGTGGCTTTCGACCTTATTCAAAATAAAACTAAAGGTGGCGAGAGAAAGAAAAAAAAGAGAGCTAACCTGTACAGCGGCGATGGCCATCAACTTCTCCGGTATTCCGCTGTCGTGGAAGAGCTGGCACGCCTCTGTGCAGGACTTGAGACAGATGCGGCATTCATCGCCCACGAGCTGTTCCACGCGTGCTGTATTATTCATCGCGTCATCGCTCGGAACTGCCATCGATCGATACAGAGATGGTGATCGCTAACCCACAGGACACACAATACCTGACAATACAATCAGTCACTACGTGCCACTGCACGGCCGCCATTTGCTTTTACTCGGACTCGCGGATCGACTGGGTCGACCGCGAGTAGTTTCGATATTTACGATATATCGATACCATGACAGCCGTGAAAACTTCGCGGAGGGAAATTCGAAGGGAAAATTGAGGATTACAATTTCGATTATTACTTTCGTCTCTAATATTTCTGCATTAATGAATGGTTTAAGCCGTCATCGTCACGCGACACTACACAAAGGCATGAACTTGAGTCTTCGCATATATTACATAAGATTAAGTTGAATAATTAGACTAAATTAAACTTGTTGCCATTTATTTTTTGCATTCAATTTAACTTACTTAATTTTGTTGCATAGCCCTCTTGAGTAGTGCATCAATCTTCATTTAAATGAAACATTTTTTTATCTTAAAAATATTAATATAGCAATGATTCAATGATTGAAACAGACTCATAATGTATATTACTAATGTTCTAATATGCATTATTTTATTATAATTGTTTTTTTACTTGTTGTAACACGGAAATGAACTCATACCTTTGTGCGGTGTTGCGTGACGTCATAACACCTAAATGTTTTTTACATCCTAATTAATGTTTTGACTGACAAGTTGACAGTCAAGAATGTATATATTAAAACTCTATTTCTTCTCTTTGATTATTACATAAATTTCCTACTTACAAAGTACAAAAATAATATTCATGAAATAGTTTTACGATATTTAAAAGTTTTTCTTAATATGAGTAATAATATACAATATTCTTCAATATATATATTTTTATTTATTTAATCAACTGTTTTAAAATATAAAATATTTGTAACTTTTATTTTTTTTTTTTGTAAATTTTTATTCTTGCTCCTTTTTTTTATTATGTAAGTATGTTTAATCATAAAAATAATTATTTAGAATATAATCCAACTCTTTACATCTTGGTATATTATGCATCATATTATAGGAATATAACAATCCAGTTTATCCATTTTCTTACTTCCACTCTGCTAATGTTTTATCGAACCAGATATATTTTCCTTTTATTTCTGTATTTTCCGGCAACAATGCACAGTAAACAGGGGCTATAGCCCCTTGATCTGGTGTTAAAGGTCCTTTATGGCTAGTCATATCAGTATCAACATAACCAGGATGCACTGCATTTACCGCAATATCTTCTCGGGGATCCGTATTAAATATAGATTGGTGAATACCAGCTAAAGCGGTAACACCAATTTTACTTGCCACATACGTTGAATTTGACCAACCAGCTTGTAAATGCGTACCAGCTTTCGCAGCACTGGAATGTAAATAAATATAAATTTCAAAAAACTTTTTAAATTATAATCAATGTTTTTTAAGAAATAATAAAGCTTACTTGACAAAATCATTCATGATTTTGTCCAATTCTGCTTCAGTCAAATTTGGATCGGCTATTTTCTGTTTTAATGCATCACCAGTAATATTAGACAGACGTCCAGCACTGCTCGAGACATGAACCACGCGAGCATGTGGTCTGAGTAACGGATAGAGAGTAGTACACACTCTACGTAAGCTGAAGTAGTTTACTCGTATTGTTTCTTCAGCTTGCACTCCGAAAGACTCCGTAGCATTGACCTGTAAATAAGTAAATTTTAATATACCTTTTAACAATACTTTATTTTTACAAAATCATTCCGTTTTAGATTAAAATGTATAAATACATTTATTAATGTTTTATTTTATTTTTTGCTTTAAATTTATGTTCTTTTTGCTGTGTATATTTAAATATTGTATCATTTTTTTTACTATTGCGAAGTAAAAAAGACTAATCAGAGCATTTGCTAATATTTTATATAAATATGAATATGAAAGGAACATATATATTATTTCTCTGTTTAAAGTCAGATTATTTTTTTAAAATTAATTACTACTATATCGATGTCTTTAATTACTTTAAATGCTATGGCGGCATTGTTGACCAGCACGTCAAGACCACCATACGTATTCTGTAAGTAATCCCGGAATGTATTAACGCTGTTGTCGTCATTGATATCCAATTGGTGGAACTTTGGATTCAAGCCTTGCTTTTTCAATTCACTGACGGCATTTAAACCACGCGTGGTGTCACGAGCTGTTAAGTAAACATTTCCATTGTACTGCTGACAGAGAGCTTTCACAATAGCAAAGCCGATACCCTTGTTTCCACCAGTTACCTAAACAACAGCATGATTTATCAATCAAGATTAATAAATCTAATTTTTGCAATTACATGTTATACTTCTATTTCTAAAATGAAACGAGTATACAATTAGGCACTGAAGAGAAAGAAAGAGGAAGACTAATAAATATTGACAGTCCAACTGTAAAAAATAAATATAGATTCTTTGTAGTTAAACTTTTGTAAAAAAAAATTATTTGTTGTTCTTTAAATGTTCCTATAATCAAATATCTGAAGGATTAAGGTCAGGGGAAGATAAGATAGACCAAACTACTCTCTGGACTTCCCTGACCAACCCATTCAATCCATTCCTTATTAAATGAATGGGAACCATCTAAAGTATATCGTTTAGTGACAATAAAGAATACGTTCCATTTTATGCATGATGATTTATTATTTTATCCTTATTCTTTAATTCAGTAAACAAGAATAAAATATTATGCATGAAACGTGGAATGAACTCAGAAATAATCTCATGTTTCAACGATTTCAACTAAATCTAAACTGATATTTTGGACGTATGTTTACTAGACTTTTTATTTTATTTTGTTGGTGAATACTTGTTCTCCAAATATGTAATCATTTTTTTAAACAATCTGTATATACTTATTTCATTTTAAGTATAACGAAACGCAATTACAAAGAATTATACTTGTCAACTAATCTTTTGGTAAAGAAAATTACAATAGAAATACAAAGATTCTGTGTTCATAGTTGCGTAATTTATACGTACCACGGCAACGCCCGTCATTCTGTGTAGATAATATATTGTAATAACACTTTATACTTTATTCTGTTTTTCGCGCCTGTCTATTTAAAGGCTAATTTTACAATGTACCTTCGCTTTCTATTTCTTGCTTTTTATCACTTTTATCTCTAGCGTTTTGGCCTCTTATCCTGTTTTATTTTTTTGTGGTTTTCCTGTTTTGTCTTTTTTGTGGTTTTCTTTCGAGATAAGAGTCGATCAAAGTTGATAGACTTCGGCACCATAGTGATTATTTCTTCCATCATGTTCGAAACAGGGTTACCACTTACCACTTATCACTGTTACCAGAACATCAGTTTGTGCCGTGCTGTGATATGAGCATGCGCCGTGACAGAAAAGTGCGAAATTTGAAATTGTACTTGTAGACCGTATTCTATATACCAGTACTGAAAAATAGTAAAAATCTATTAGCGAATATATTAGCAGTCATTTATGCATTATGCTAGGTATACATACTAACAATATCTGCTATATATAAAATTAGTAAAGTTGAATGTAGAAGCGTATAAATATTTTAAACAATATCCGCAATAATGATATTGTTAATAATGATATCATGTTATTTAACAAATATTGTCAAAAGAATTTAAACAAACAAGCACGGCATTTTTACTTTTTATTGAGATATTTAAATACACATAAATTTATCCGTACATATTACAATTTCCTTACTGGGTATCATAAGCTTATATACATACAGACGATACCCTGTAGTCGATAATACAATCGGGAAGGTAATCCTACATAAAAAAATAAATCGAAAATGTACAATAAATTTTTTACATATATGAGGCTTCGTTTTCAAGAAAGTCGTATTTTGCAAATTCAGTAACGGCTTTTCTCTTTATAAGACTTCGATAAGTTTGATTTACGTTTCGCTATGAATCTCATTAAATTTCCGTTCCAGCGATCTATCCGAATGAGAAAGGTAAGAAACAAATAAAAATGCTTTATTTAGAAAAATAAAGATGCGCTTGTGATATTTTATATATATTGACCGAAACTTAAATTAATTTTCCGTTTTTAAAAACGCCATCACGCAATTACAGCATCTTGCATATATTTATATACGCATTGATTTTCTCACGCTACACTAAGTAATTGTACAACGTCAGTCTTTAACGAAACGCTCGCTTCTCATGAATAAACGAAATATTTCACTCTCTCTCTCTCTCTCTCTCGCTCTTTTTCTCTCTCTCATTCTCTTTATATCTTTTGTCTACTTACTCTCTTCATTAGAAAAATTCATTGCTTATTCCAATAACCGTCTATCTAATATCTGTACATGCTTTACAACTTGGCACACACATCCGGTCCTCATACACTTTCGCGATCCTTTAAGAGGTGTACGATATTCTTATGCAAATGACTATGCACGATTAATAACAGCCTGGCACTTAGAATCTGCTTTCCTGGAGCATACATATTTTACAATTGACAACGGTATCGTAGAAGTCTCAACAAGATGTTAACAATTAACATATCAATCACATACGATGTTCTAGAAGTCGCATATTTCTCTCAGATATCTCTTTTAGACTTCATTTTTGAGAAAAATCAAATAATGACTCATTTGTCATGCATCTTTCAATAGTAGATACTATTTTCGTATTGATAACAGTTATATTTTCATTCAAAATCATCCCAAATTAACACTAAAAAACGAATAAATGAATTTTTGTGTTATATCCTTAAAATCTTATTATCTTTTCTTAATTATTATAATTCTAAATCTAATTTATACGACTTATAAGACAGAGTACATAAACTTTGTGAATATTGTACAACCTGCTGTATTGATAAGCGCAAAGCTCCACTGGTAGTGAATAAAATAAAATCACAGCTTCTTTACGTATAATATGAAGAAAGGCTTTTCCTTATATAACCAGTGAAATGTATTAACTATGTATTTTTCACATTTTTCATTTTCTTGATCAAAATCATGACCTAAATCGAGTATTAATCGATCAAGTACAAGTATATATATGACTATGGTTTTAGAAAACAATAAATGTATAATATAAATTTTTTTGAACACCATAAAACTGTGCGAAACGTATCGAATATAAAATTTAATTCTAGAACGTTGATATAAAATGTTAATATACAGGATGCTTAGACGTATAACAAAAGAAATATGGGTAATATATAAAGAGGGAACTAATCAACAGAAAATAGGTGTCAAAAAACCTCTGAAATTTTTTTGAGTTTTTGTACTTGGAAGAATACATGTCACTGTAAATTGTGACAAATTCAGAATTGATTTTATAATTCTTTTTATTAAACATCTAAGCGAAACGCCTTGTATATAACTTTATTAACTTCAGAAAATTACATAGCTATTTTGTAGAAACAAAAGTACATAATATTATATTGTGACTGGTAATTAATAAAAATTTAATAAAATGGCACGCATTTGAAAAATAAAGATATTATAATAAAATATTCAAACATTTTAAATTAATATTATAACATTTTATTATGCTTTCATTAAAAAAATTAAAGATTATTAAACAAAAACTGGATAAAATTATTTTATAACTAAGTAGAATTATTTTTCGAACAAATTATACAGTTGTTTGAAAAGAAAAGAAAAGAAAAGAAAAGGAAAGGAATTGTTTCATTCATAAAACAAACTCTGTAAAAATTTTAATGTCGACAAACTTTTAATTTACAAACGTTTCTTTAGTACCTTCCCACAAAAATAGATACGTGTGTTCAAGGATAGTTTAAAATACCAATAAGGATAAGTTGTTAACTATTTCACGTGTCTGATAAGTCTGATAACAGATCCGTAAGAGATATATACTAAGTGTATTGACGATAATTTCATATTCTCGTAATACTTTTTTTCTTGCTAAAGATCATGCGATGTTATGACTAATTCAATGTATGAACGCTCGTACATGTACACAGTTAGAGCCTACAAGTTCGATATGTACACAATGTCGCGATATCTTTCTATATAAATAAAGTGGAATCTATCAGAACAGTCTAATACACGCTAGTCCTTTGACAGGTATTCTAATATTAATATTAGGCGCGTTCAAGTCGGCAAAGTGGCCTGTTCGCCAAATAAATGAAGGGTTGGTTGTTACTTATAGATCCAACCACATTAAATCGCTCGACGAGCAGGCCAACCGCTTTGTTCGGATTGAATGCGCCCATTGATACTTTGTCTCTAAGAATAAGTTCAAACATATATTGGTTCATTAAGAATTAGTTGCAATTTGTCGCAAAATATCGGCGGGGAAAGTTGCTGAATACAAAAAAAAATACAGTAAAATTATGGTAAAACAAAGAATATATATCGAACAGAAATTGTCGTTATAATAAAGTGAAATTGAATTTATTGGAAAACATATTATAAAACTTTATAAAGTATAGAAGTATTTTTAAAAATTTCTGGAATTTTTTCATTTTTCTGAAATACAAAATACAATCATTTACGTTACATTATCTATAAAAGAAAATTTTGTATTAGAATATAACATTTTCTTCAACAAAAATTTTCTGCTTTTTCTGTATAATTATGCAGTTTTGCAAAACTACTAAAAGTATTTCCAAGAATCAGTTTGCGAAAAAAAAACCTAAATTGGCGCATTCTAGATGATGTCAGCAACAAAAACACTCCTTTCAGTTGTTTTGAAATTGTTTTTATTGCTCCGTCATCATATGCTTGCGACAACACAATTAATGTTTCTCAAATTTGTGCAGAATTAAAATTCAAATATACATACTGTAAATATTGTACTGATTCCGGAAATTTTTGAAAATTGCCTCATACATAAATTCAAATATAATAGAATGTTGACATAACAAATATATAAAAAAAACTTATAAGAATCATAAACATAGATCATTCAGTCATAATTTAATAATTTTTCAAATGTATTATTTGTGGGGTAACGTTTCTTGGATATGCTAATATCAAAATAAGTAAAAGTTTATAATTTTCAATATACTGCTGTTCAAAATTTTGTGATACAACATAAAGCAAAAAAATTTGTTCGTAAAATTTAATATATATTGAAATATTTATCACAATTTTACAACATATGAGTTTTACTAGAATCCTAAGATAGAAATGTTGAAACTTTTAAGAGAAGTGGATCTTCAATATATTATATTTACGACCAAAATCAGTTAAAAGAATTTTTAGCACAAATATTTCACTTGAAGCAAATAGAAAATCAAATCATCATGCTTTACATAATTTACAAATTCAAAAGTTGCTATACATATTAAATTTGCCGCTCTTTTATGGAGCATTGTAAAGTTACAAATACAATCTTTTTCCAAAGTCTAATTTTACGTTTTTCATTTTCCTTTTAATTTTGTCTGTGAACAAAAAGTGAAAAAAGGAGCGAGATAAAAAGAAAAATTGTAAATCGTGGAACAAAAAACAGTATCAGAATCAAAACTCAGAGACTAAAGTCTACAATGACTATTATAATGAGCCTCACACGTTTTGGATTCAAAGTGAGTTTTGTTTCTGGAGCAGAGACTAATTTGCCTTAAACAAATTTTATAACACAATACAAGCCCACTTTTTGTGATATTCACGTACACATTTTCGCGAACGAGAAGCGAAGTCTCAGCCTTTGTCTATCCGACGCTAAATAAAATCTGCTTTCCTCAATTCCCCTTTTCTCTCCCTGCGAGATACAGCGGGTCCGTGTCTGGATATGTACATGCTATCTGAAAGGAGGAAGGACTACTTTTTGCTATACTTTTAGAGCACAGTGCGACCAAAGAGCTGGTACCTTTTTGAGTACCCCTGGAGCAATGATTAGGGCATCGAACGCGTTTCCAGCTGCTCTCGATGTGCCTAGATGTGCGATTAGATCTTAGGATGCTGCCCTGAATATGTGCAGTATTCGCCTACTGGAGAAAGGGAAATGGTTGATAGGTGGCCCTTTACTCGGGGGCCGTAAGCAAACCCTAGGCCAGTTCTCTCTTCGCTTTAGCCTCGTTGTAGAATTCCGATGTCACATCAGTGCTGGATGTCGCCACCGTAACCGGCCGGAAGTGTCGGGTCAGTACATATACTACCGCTTCATATGTTGCCATTATAATAGCGGTGTTCGGAATCTGCCGAATCAGCTGAGTGCCAAGGCCTCGATAGAGACCCCTTGTGCCCTCTTCCGTCCATACAGTATTCAAGGTTTGCCAGAATGTGCGATATTTGCTACCTTCTTCCCGCAACCGGGTTCTTGCGACTTCTAAATAGGAAAAAGAATATAAATTGTATTTTCATCTTTGATCGGACCTCCTACGTCTATCATAAAATTATTATTGAAGATGGAGAATATTCTTCTATCTACATAAATGTATTCATTTTTAAATCACAATCTCAGACAAATAACTTTCATTTAGGGATCCCTCAGATTGAAATTTTAATTATTATAACATTGAAAAAATCTGTATATAAGAATTCTGTGTATTTTTGGGCCAGTAATTTCTATAATATGGTTTTAATGATATTTAAATAAGATTAGAACAAACTAAAGTGCATCAAAAATATATAATCATAAAATTGATTTTATATTATCGTAACGATCGGAAAATAACTTGATATGTGATGACGCAGTTTTCTCTGAATAGAAATGCTCCGATTTCATGTAATTTGTTTTTCTACGAAAAGACGCACGCGATCTGTGTATGATAATGTTGATTTGCAGAACAGTTTCGAAATAAGTGCAGTATAATACAGATCCGATATTATTTATTCAAACAACCAGAATGCCACAAATATTTGTAGATAGATATAACGCGTAATTACACACCGAGTGTCTGGCACGCGTTGCAAATATAGCTGGTGTTATCTTTAGACCTCGGAGAATCTTCGCAAAGTAATAGTAGAGAAAGAAATCTACTACTCATCAATAAAATCAGAATATTATAGAACAATTTTTAATCACATGCTCTGTTAATACATTATTCATTGCCATCGACTATGACAGTTACCAACATTGAGTTTTCTATTTATGCTTTGTTATTTACTAACGATCGTCAAATAAATACATTACATCTTATATTTTTATACTCAATACTACGTTCAATATTATAAATTTAATTTTTTGAGAAAATAATTTAATTTTTTCATTTAAAAATATAAACAGAAAGTTAGCTAAAGTATCGTAAAATATACTTGGCGGTGAATGCGTTAAGCATATATCAGTTCAAATCAACTATTACTAAATTAAATAATTTTACTAAAAACAAAAAGGTGTTACCTAGTAATTCTAAAAAATTGTATTTTGATAGCGCAATCTTTAGATTATATTGTTGTAAACGTAAAGATAATTTTTTAAATATTTTTTTCATCTACAGTTCTAAATAATCAATGACTAATGATATTCTTAATGTAACATGTTCTCTTAATAGTGAGTTGTACAGAGCTAAACATTTTTAATTATTGATGTAAATTTTCATTAAAATCAATCTAACATATCGCAAATATTGTAACTAACTTAAGTACAAAAAGAGTTAAGTAAATTATAGTCGTTAAAACTTATAAATTGTAGTAACTGGTAAAAGGATTCTACAGATTTGTTTCGTTTAAGAAATGATTAGTTAAGTTTAACTGAGCGTTCCATAAATCCGTATGTTCCATAAAATAGTTTATAATATTACCATGAGGGTAGGCAATAGTTGACGCTATCGTTTTTGAAAATGAGCCTGCAGCCATAAATTCGATGAAGTCACGGAACGTTTTCCTGTCATCTGTTTGAGAAGCACGCGATCTATGTGTAGCTAGCCATGCCTTCACAGCTTCATATATCACAAAGTGTATCACAGTTTCACTTATGCCTATGTAGGATGCCACGATACCTTTGTAGAATCCCAGGATACCCTGTAAGAAGATAAAAAAAATACATAAATATTATGAATCATATCCTGAATCTGATTTATTTCAATGTTGTAAATGCGATATTTTCTCAAATTTCAAAATTGTGTAATAAGAATATTAATCTATAATAATAATTTCAAGATTATACTACTTTTGTTTTAGTTCCATATTGAAAAAAAATAAAAATACATAAAAGATAGTTTATTATATACAGAGTGCGTCACCAAAATCCGGACAAATTAAACAATTTTTTTAAGCAAAATATTTTTAATGAAAAATTAAATATTACAAAAAATCCTTTTACATAGCACTTGGGGGATTCCTATAGAGCACAATTATTCGATATATTCCCCATTAGCTTGAATGACGGCCTCTATTCTCGGTCTGAAGCGTTCGCACGCACGCTGTAATGTAGCGCTATCCATGCCGACGAATGCTGCCTTAATAGCAGTCCTTAATGACGTCACATTGGGATGCTGAGACTTGTTTGTGACCCTTTCAACTAAGCTCCATACATAGTAGTCCAAGGGATTTAAATCTGGGCTGTTGGGAGGCCAGAATTCCTTGGACCAAAACATATCAATTGTCTGAGAGTCAATTTTGAATCAAATGACTCGTATGAGCCGGTGCATCGTCCTGCTGAAAAACATATGGCCTTCCGGATGCCACAGTTTCCATCCACGGCTTCACTACATCCATCAGTACACGCAAATACACTTCTTTTGTGACAGTTTCTCCTTCTTTAAAGAAATATGGTGACATGACATCACCCTTACTGGACACAATACCTAGCACGTGAACATTGGTCGGAAATTCCGTTCTGGCAACAACAGGGATATCCTCGGGGTTGTAGGCGAGCCATCGGTTGATTTTGACATCAACAGTAAAAATTTTTTCGTTAGAGAAGAACCTGATTCGTCCCGATGCTTCGTTTTTCAAAGAACATAATAGCAGATTGCAGCGAGCAACTCGGCTTGTCCTGGCAGCTTCAGAGAGCATCTGTCGCATCTTTAATGTGTACGATTTGTATCGAAGGTTCTCCTCGGCAATTCGACGCATTGTTGGTTCGCTTACATCAACAATCGATGCTAATTTTCGCAACGATTGCCCTGGATCATCTGAAATCAGTGCTTGAGCCCTTTCAACGACTGCGAGGGTCCTCGCGGTGCGTTCTTTCGAGTGACTCTTCCTCGCTGGCATTCTGGAATCTTCGTTGGACTGTTTTAAAGCCGTATATTTTACCACAATGTCATAAACGGTTGATCTCGGGTATCCAAAGAACCGAATTATTTCCGTTGCTAAGCGTCCAGCGCGAAGGCCTTCGATGATCGCGGCTCTTCGATTATACTCCGCACTTGGTTTCAACATCGCAGCCATTTTGAGAATATGACTGTTTAGAAGCATCAGATTTTCTCGGACGCCAACAACAACCTCTGGCGGAGACACAATATAGCGGAAAATTTAAATTGAAATTTGTCCGGATTTTGGTGACGCACCCTGTATATAGCTATATGTAAATTTTTAAATAATAACACAAAATATTAAATTATTAAATAAAAAAAATTTAATAGCTAATTTACTATTAACAATTAATAAGATTATGTATATTAAATAAAAAAGTATGACACAATTATATGTTCATTATATTACTGTACATATTGGTATTGATTAATTATTAATAATATCGTAAAATTATATACAATATAGAAATCATATCTTTGAATAATAAAATAATATCATTACAATAAAAAACGATATATAGCATCTCTTATCAATGATATATTAAAGTCTGGATGTAAGGGTTTTAAAAAAGAGAACATGTGATATCTGCATGCTCGGTAAAGATAATATTAAATCGAATGTTCTGTGATAAGAGAAAGCTAAAAATATTTAAGATGCTATGTACTCGCAATTTAGCGATTCAGAGGTGTGCATGACTGATAATAGATATGTATTAAATATAAACAGATAAAGTGATATTCGATGATAATAGAGAAACCTATTAATATAACCAGCTAATAATCATCTTATTAATTCAACTTAAAATCCAAATCGTACAGCATGTAAATTATTTATTATTTATTATTTATTATCACTATAATTTATTAATATGTTAGTAAATTTTTGAGTGTTCATTTTTCATTTATCTAATAATATTCGTATATATGTTTTCGTATAAAAGTAAGTTTTATGTCGACTTCCACCATAATTAATTATCTTCTGTATTTTTAATCATTATAACTTCAATTGTATATAAAGATATTTATGTAAAACTGTTCATTGTACATCTATGTCAATTTGTATTTTCAATTTTCATGAATTCACATAATGATATACAAAATAATAACAGGATATACAGATTTATTTATTACATGAGCATGGTTCACACAGTGGAATTTTCCAAGATATTTTTACTTGGATATACTATTTGTAGACGTACTATTCATGGCGCCAGTTTTGAAGCTGGCCCGATTCCGACGTGTCGAACGCATTTTTAGTACACGCATATAAATGATGCAGTCGCTATCTTCAAGTAAACACATTCAATTTGACACATGTCCGTAGGATGAAACAAGCGAACAATTTATCCATACGTTGAAAGCAAATATTTCTTTTCAATAAAAGTCATTATTTTTTACAAAAAATAATTTCAACAAACTAATTCATTATCTTATATTAGGTTAAATATAAGAAATTTTACTTTCATGTAATCCTTCCCTCCTTTCTCTCTCCCTCCCCCCCCTCTCTCTCTCTCGAAATGAGTTAAATATAATTTTTCCTTTATAATAGCCTTCTTAGAAAATTGTTTTTTCCACGGTTAATTATAGAATTCTTATGTAGTATCCCCATTAAAGTGATTAAACAGAATTCTACTGATTGCAAACATTCACGAAGCTTACAATATATTCTTATATATATTGCAGCCAAGTGATAAATTTATTCAAGTAATAATTTCTTAAAATATATCTTATGGAAGAGCGAGAGAGAGAGAGAGAGAGAGAGAGAGAGAATTTTGAACTAAAATTTCTTTAATACGAAAAAAACTTCGTATAACTTCAATATCTACATTTAAGATATTGAAGAATAATTAATTACATCAGTTCTATATCTGATAAAGCTACTTTGTTCCAATATAAGTACCTATCGTTGCGCCAACTGAGAAAATAATCTTGGCCGCAACTAACGTTCAATAAATACTCATCAATGCCATTGTGACATCATCGTTGATATTCTGCAGGAAATCCCTTGATTATTTTAGATTTTCCCCAATTCGTTATCACGATGTAAATATTTCCTTAAACAGTGTTATGTAATTTCAACGATAATCTAGTAACGATCAATAAACTTATAATCTCAGAAACTATCAACAAAAATCTTCTAATTTTTACGAAAGGAGAAAACTTAAGCAAGCAGTTATTGATTCGGAAGAAATCCAGACTGTAGAATACCAAGAAAGAAAGTACACACAAAAGATTTGATATTTGTTAATGAATTTATCTTTATGTATAAAAATATTAATTGTTAAATAAAAATCATATATTTTTTTGTAATGTCACTTTGATTTTTAGTATTTTCATTTTAGTAAGTAATAAAACATGTCATCAAATAAATAGACAGGGTGTCTATTTGTTTCCAAAATGTAGGAGGTGGAAACACACTATAAAGTCTGCTTCCACCTCCTACATTTTGGAAACAGTTGAAAATTATGAAAAACAGAATATATTTCGGGGAATTACTTTTTTAAGGGAGTTGGAATTTCTCAAAATGATTGAACAGGTATTTTGTGATTTTTCATAATTTCGAACTGTTTTCTAAATATAGAAGGTGGGGATAGACTTCAGATACTTAAAACTTTTATCTTACATAAAACTATTATATTTAATCTTTCAACCGCACACATAGATCATTCGTGTCCAAGACATTTCTAACAGTTTTTATTTCTCATATATCTACGTAAGTAACTTTCAAATTTTTTGCATTGTCTACATAGCAGAATAATTTAGTAAAAACCTTAAAGAACATGTGTAAATTTTTACAGATTTTGTTTCAAAATTGGGTCAGACATAAATGAGACCTATGTGTGCCGCTCTAGGAGGTGCTGAAAATAAGTGTATCGTTTCAAGGTTAAATATATTTTTTAGTTATTATTTAGAGATAACCGCAGCATTTTTTAACGGTTTAACGTTTAAGTTAAATGGAAATTTCATAATACACGTACACTGTGCATAGACATGATAAGCATAAGCTGTATTCCTATGAAGCTGTCATTATCGGTTTAGAAAGTAGTTTCTCTCTCTCTCTCTCTCTCTCAAAAATATCTAAAAAAATATCTTAAAGAGAGATGCTCAATATATCGCATTGTCTTTCTAATGGAGCACAGATGTTAAGATCAGCGAATGCGCGCAATCTATATCTATGATAATATTACGTTTATGGTACACAATGTACCTTATTTTACTCATTGTTAGTAGTGTTAGTATAGTAGAATTATCTGTAGAATTATCTTTAGAAGGAAACTAATATAGGAATTAACAGTTGTTACAAAATAAGTAAATCCTATGACGAAACGCTTTACAATGTTCTAAGAAAGATGCGTATATACACATCTTATATTTAATGTTATATAATTGTTTGATTTCCAATATATAACAGCAAATGTCATCTTCAAATAAAAAAATATATTCATTATTACGATTTCCACGATAAAATATTACAAGTTAAAAAAATCTTACAAAAAGATAGAATGTTAATAATATAATGTGCATAAATTATTTAAATAATACAAAAATTACTTCATTTATTTCACTGGCCTTTCATCTCAACATGATTATGGTTTCATTGTGTTTTTTTTTACGCAATAACAATTATTTTAATTTTAGAAAGCTCTATAGAGAGAATCGACAATTGTCAATTTAAGAATTAAGAAATTTGCAAATATAAGAGTTAAATTTGTAAAATTTAATACCGTAGGTCACGACATGGCAATTTCATCGAGTCTTTCGAATTGCAAATCACGATAAAAAATAATATTTAATGTCTTACCGATTGTCGATATATCCTCCGCATGCATTCTATCGCTGTGACTTTTTGTGACCGGTGGTCCAGCTGTAGTCTGGTTTTTATGAACCAAATCGGATTTGTCAATGTACACGCGGTGAAACCTGCAAAAGTGAACGACCGTTTATTGAATCCGGTGTTCAGTGTTTTGTGAATAAATTATCGCAGTATTTTTTCTTATTTTTATAACGTTAATTTGATTAGAACGGCAATTTATTACAAATATTGCTACTCGATAAATATTTCACAAAAAATAAATTTACTTGATTAATCTACCTAACAGAAAATAAAAATTTAGTATAAAATTTTTCTACTTTTAATGTTTAATCAGTATGCTGAAACCATCTTTAATTAGATAATATGTAGACATCAGTTTTAATTTTTCTTTCTCTAATATGATACTAAAATCTTTATTAAGGTTTAAGAATCTTGTATAGTATTGAGAAATGAGAGTAAACTCTTTTCCTTAATTATCTTTTACATACATATAATATCATTTACATTTAATTATACTAATAATATATGCATAGAATTGATTTATTAGTTCCTTGATCCAGTATTCCGAAAGATCGGCAGAAGATCGTATTACTTATGCCACAGTGTGCCGAGGATATGTGGATAATGCACGTGGATTATGTAACCAAGAATACGCGTCGTTTAGTGCGCAATTTATAGCACGCGGTGTCTTATTTATGTCTTATTTACTTTTAGCGTTACCTGAAGTTCCACTTGATGCGAAACTTCGGAATTATCTTCGACGATTATTAGGAGTTTGAAAAAAAAAAAACCGATTTAAAAGAAGTAAAAATTCAAAATAACAAACATCGATCGTGTAATTGTCATTACGCAATTTTATATACATTTTTCGCGTAAATTCGAAGAAATGATTTCGCGCGTGACAGAAAGATCATTCAAAAGCGAAAAGAAAAATCAAAGGACATTTTCTTAGAAATTTGTTTTCCTTCAATAAGGTAAATTGCTATTTATCGTTATATTTAAAAATAAACTGTCTCATACAAATTTTGTTGCAATGTCATGCTGCATACATAATCAAAGTATGCATATTAATCTCCACAATGTATTAGCAACATATTAAATATAAATATATTAAACGACTTTAACAGATTAAACAAATACATAAAAAAATATGAGAATCTTTAAACATTTCAGGCTAAATGCGGCATGAAAATTATAATTATAAAATTACGATGTATAATACGCGTGACGTTTAAATATGACGTTTAAAAG